AGGGCCACCCCGGAAGAAATGTTCAGGATGAGCCCTTTCCTCCTAAAAGGCAAAGAAGCAACGTTTCAGGGGCTGTGCTGCCTGGGGGCTCCGTGAGAAGGAAGAAACCAAGGGGCTCGTGTGAGCGCCGGGGAACCCCTCTCTGCTTCCCTCAGGGCCACGGCCCACAATGGTGACCCTGGGCAGTCAGTGGGCATCAGGACTTGCGACCGGGAACGGGTTCTGCTGCACAAGGGTTCCCCACCGAAACGCAGGAACCCACTGAGCGCAGACAGGAGGGGAGGGCATGGGTCGGCCTCGAGCACGGGCACAGGCGCTCAGGACCCTTCTGCCCATGAGAATGACCCACAACAAGGCAGATGCCATCAGTCTTGGGTGGAACTGGATGGCCCATCACCTGCTCACACAGGCGTCCTCACAAGTCCCGGGGTTCCCTAAGTGCCCTTTGGAAATGTAATCTCTTTAATCCACCCCAATGAGATGGGTTTGCTCCAGAAAAACCACAAAACTGCACATTAGAATAGCAGGGCCAGCCTCGCTTCCTCGAGGGAGGACAAAGCCATCGGCCACTTACTGTTCATGAACACGGCCTGAGACCGGCTCCCGTGGGTGCGTGAGACCGGCTCCCGTGGGTGCGTGAGACCGGCTCCCGTAGGTGCCTGAGACCGGCTCCCATGGTGTGTGAGACCAGCTCCCGTGGGTGTGTGAGACCGGCTCCCGTGGGTGCGTGAGACCGGCTCCCGTGGGTGGGTAACAGGGTGATAAAGACGTGGCATAAATGGAGGCACTGATGGGGTACTGATGGGGTGCTGGTGGGGTGCTGATTTTTACCACTAAACTGGAGTATTCATTCTGACAACAGCTGAAATTTATAATAACGAAGAGATGGTCTTGGTCTCAGGCCAACTTCTGAAGTTTCTTTTATGCTTAACGTAAGTTAATTTTTTACTACAATGTGTGCTGAATCCGCTATTCTCTTCCTTCCTCCAGTGTATGTTACACTTGACCTTCGATATGCTTGTGTGTTGCAAAGCTGGCGGGGCAGAATGTTATTTCCCCTGTAAAGCCCATGTCCTGTCATCACAGTGTTATCACCTGTTAAAGCCGCAGCCAGAGGCGCCCCAGCCCCAGCCTCCACACCCGCCGCCGGCCAGGCCAGGGAGCCCGTGCGCGCCACCGTTTCAAAGAAAGGCCTTACCTTGCCTCCATGTGCTTCAGAATTAGCTGGGTCATCTACAAGAGAAGGTCAACGTTAAGCCTTGACAATAGCAATGGGGGTGCAACTTGGGGGAGTGGGTGTGGGAGGGAGCTGGGGAACTGCCTAATCTCCTCAGATGGCCACACGCATTGGAGGTCATTCTGGCAACACTAGAGTCAGGCCAGAACCTACAGGACGCAACTCAGAAAATGGCCAACTGCTCAGAGGCCTCTGGTTTCTCCTGTTAAAGCTCCAGTCTTCCTGCAAAACGAGGGCAGTGAAAAATTACGGTAATTGTCCTGGTGTGGGGTCAGCACTGAGGGTCCCGGATACCCTCTACCCCAGGAGACAGGCAAGCGGAGGCTGCTCGTCACAAGCCTCAGCTGTGAGTTAGGATTGGGGGGCGTCAGGACATCACGCAGGTGACCATGAGTGTCACAAGTACCAGGGAGGACACCTGTCAATCCAACAGCGGCCACATAAGCAACCTGCAGTGGTCTGTGCTAGCTCCCCAGACAGACATGTCTGTCTGTCTGTCTGTCAGAATTACAACTGTATTGGGACGTCCCTTCCCCCTCCCAACCTTCTGCCCCCAAAAGAGGTCTTTCCTGCAACTTCCGGAGCTTAAACATCCCGTTAAAGAGCTTTTCACTTCGTAATTGTAAGGCACGCGTTTTAAGAATTAAGGAGGCGGCAACTGTGTGGACTAACGGGTTCTCAAACGTACATCCAAGTGGACGGGGGTCCTGTCTGGGGAGCAGGTTTGAGACAGAGAGAAACCGAACGGGTGGGGCAAGGCAGAGAAATCAAAAGGCCCGGGGCCAGAAGACTAGCTCTGCCAGTCTCTGCACGTGGCCTGGTGTTATGCCCAGATTTCAAGATCCCCCAAGACAGACCACCAGGGAGCCGAGTCCAATGCAAAAGCATAGAGTCTTTTATTCAAGCCCGGGCTTGGTCCCCCTCTGCCTCCATTACTGGATGCGAGAGAGAGCCCCAAGTCCCAAGAGAACAAAGAATTTATAGGGGTTGGGGAAGGGGGTGGAGGCACTTGGTCGATTCCGGTTGGTTGAGTGAGGGCCGGGGGCTAGTTTCCCTTGCTTTCCCATTGGCTGAGATAAGGGCAGGCTGAGTAACTGATACATTCTGTGGCTTGCCTGGGAGAGGAGTTAGGGACACAGCTATCAGTTCCGTTCTGTTCTTTTACTATCAGTTCCGTTCTGTCCTTTTGTTAGGGACACAGCTATCAGTTCTGTTCTGTCCCTTCACTGGGAGCCCCAGGAACTCCGGGGGGCGGGGGGGTACTCTGTCCTTGCCACGCCCTATCTGCGGGGCCTCCAGAGCGTGGTGGGGGGTGGTCCCTAGAACCTACAGGACTGCCTCCTGAAACCCTGGGTTTGAAGGGAGGTGAGAAAAGGATGAGGGCTAGATTGTCATCACACTTCCTTGGCTTTTCCAACGTCACTGAGGGGCACGCCAGCATGTCCTCAAAGTCTCCCAGCTGAATGCTCCCTCACGGGGGGAGTAATCCCGGGTAGAGAGAGGACGTCGGGTTTGTGAGTCTCTGTCACAAAGCTCCCACTATTTAGTCTCTGGTCTCACCTTCCTTTTGCCCACAAGCTCATCTCCCATCCCTGCCCTGACAGGGGCCTCTCCTGTTCCCAGACGGCTCCTGTGGGATAATTAAGGGATACTTGTCATGCCTCCCACCAGCGTGGACAGCTGGGGTGGCATGCTTATAAGCTAACCTCCGTGTGTTTTCTCTGTTATTTAGGGAAGTTAGTGTCTAACAATATATAAAATAATTGTTTAGCAAATCAAAACATTCCTCTGCTAAAGGAGTCGGGCTTATCAAATCGATCTGGGAAGCCCCGTGATCAAATGGACCAGGAGTGAGAGATCCACGTGTCAAATAATGTGAAAGATTTTAGTGATAAGACTACCGACAATAGTTGGAAATATAAAACTTACAATTACATCAGCTGGGAGTTTGAAAAGCTATTGATTGCTCGGCCTAAAAGAATGGGTGTACCAATGAACACTGGGCAGGCTACGTAAAATACCACCATGCTTACAGAAAAACAATCAATGATAAAAACAATTTTTGTCAGCCCAACTTATCCACCTGAAAAAAAAAAAAAATTGGGGCTCTACTCAGCATCCATCCCCTCCCCTTAGGTCGAGAGCAGCTGATTCTCCTGTGGGAAAGCTGTCCTCCACGGCCAGTCCACGTCCTCAAGATGAGACTGAGCCTCCTGCTGCTCCCCAGCCAGGGTCTGGACCCATGAACCCAGGGGTCACACCTGGCTCCCTGCTGCGGTTCCACGAGGCCTGGGGAATGGCCACAGGGCGCCAGGCGCAGTTGTGAACTCTGTGGCCTGAGCCAGGCTCTGGCTGTGGGGTCAGGGGGTGGCTCAGAGCCCAGGGTTCACTCACAGGCCATTCAGAGGAGAGAAGCCCGTGTTCTCACAGAAGTGCCATCCGCTCAGCAGGCGGCAGCTCCTTCCCCAACCACCTGCCCAGGAGGGCCCTTCCCCCGCTCTCTCCAGGGCACAGTCAGCTCAGCTCTGCGTCAGCCGTGCCTACAGACGCTTGTGCAGAACAGCACCCGACACGACACAGTGCCACACTTTCGAGCAGATGAGGAATCTGAGGTTCCAGGGAGTTAAACAGCACGCCCAGCGCTGCCCAGCCAGCTAGTGGCTGAGCTGGAGTCAGAGATACATGAACTCCAATTGGCAAAGTACTTATGGAACAAGAGTCCATAAAATCATGCCTGCCCTCTGTCTTTTTCTCCAACAGAGCGACTTTTCCTCTATTTACTAGGATAAAATCAGAGGAAAGTATTAAATTTTTTAAAAAGCCACCCTGGAATCCAGAATCAGTTTCAGCAGCGTCAGGTCTGATATGCTCTGACATGTGGCAGAACTGGAGGCAGAAATAGGCCCCAAACACTAGGGAGCATGAATCCCTCCCTGCGCTTGGTGAGAACAGAACCAGAGAACGGAAAGGCCACGCGTGGGCCTCGCAGTCAAATGCAGTTCGAGTCCAGAGAGTCCCCTCCACAGGGAAGGGCCGGGCGTCCTGTGTTGCCACATACCGGGAGCTGCTCCATGTTAATGCGTTCGGCACATACACTGATCACGTACCTTCACTACCGATGTGATGTTACAGTGGATGAGGCTCTGGAATAAACAACCATAACCACAAATCAGCTGAGACGTTCTCTTGACATGCAGTCGGTGCTAACGAAACATCAAGTGGGCGGAGGCACGCGTCTGAGCTGTTCCCTCACTCGCTCAGCCGGCACATCCGGCTCCTCCTGGAAGTTCAGGAAGCCTGCGCTAGGACTGGGAAACAGCTGCTGTCCGTACTGTGCTTCTGGGCAGTGTGATCTTGAACAGAAGTCAATTACGAAGAGTTTCCTCAAAAATTTAAAGAGGAATGTGGACACAGTTTTTCCAAGGGAGCGGTTACTCCCCAGCTGGAGGAAGGGGGCAGCGTGCGTGGGCCTGGGGGACAAGGGCAGCGAGAGCAGAAAGGCCAGTGGCTGTATAATAAGGCGGACGCTCCGGGCTACAGAGGCCAGATAAAGAAACTAGTAGATGCCAAAACCGGTTTGGCTCAGTGGATAGAGCGTCGGCCTGCGGACTGAAAGGTCCCAGGTTCGATTCCGGTCAAGGGCATGTACGTGGGTTGCGGGCACATCCCCAGTGGGAGGTGTGCAGGAGGCAGCTGATCGATGTTTCTCTCTCATCGATGTTTCTAACTCTCTATCTCTCTCCCTTCCTCTCTGTAAGA